AGTGAATTCACAAAGGCAAGTTAAACAGGAATCCAAGAGTAGCTTGGGGTCTGTGTATAGCTCAGAGGAATGTTTGGAGAGTGAGATTCCAGTGAAACAGGAACAGTTTATTCCAAGGAGGTGTGAAAGAGCAAATAAAGGTGTTCCTCCATAAAAATTCACAGTTGAGGAGGTAAAAGTATGTAACATCTTTTATGAGTCCCAAAATTACCAGAAAGTATTAAATTTACCTCTGGCAGAACAAAAGAAATGGAAAGAGGGTATAGATAAAGAAATGTTGTATATGCAAAAACAAAGTTTTCATTCCAATGAGGTTACCAGAGGGAGAAAAAGCTGTTGGGTGAAGATGGGTGTATAAAAAGAATCTTTTGATGAATGATGAAGTATAGTATAGAGCCGTAGTGGCGAACCTATGGCACGAGTGCCAGAGGCGGCACTCCTAGCCCTCTATGTGGGCATGCACACACGCCGTCGTCCCAGCCTCCCTCTCCCCGCAGCCCCCTCCACACCAGCAGCCCCCCTGGAGGAGAGTCACCCCCGGGTGCAGCCTGCGCGGAGCAGCGCAGCCAAGCACATGGCAGCTGGGCAGCAGATGATGCTGCGGGGCGCAGGCAGAGGGCGTGGCTAACATGGCACTGCAGGGCCGCCTGGGTGATCTGAGGGTGGGCGGGGTGGAGGGCGGAGCAGGGCGGGTGCAGGTGGGTTGAGCGGGGGCGGGCCGGTTTTTGGGCACTCGGTCTCTAAAAGGTTCGCCATCACTGGTATAGAGGTTAGTTGCTCAAAATCTACACAATGAGATTGGTTAGGAATTAAAGGAATACTATGTTATTTAAAAGGAAACATGGATTTTGGATTACATTTGCAGCCATCAAATGAATTTGAATTGAAATGTTTTGTAGACAGTGATTGGTCTAATGATGTACAAAATAGAAAGTCAGTGTCAGGATTTGTTGTAATGATTGCAAACACATTAGTTGATTGGAAATCTAGAAAGCAGATTTCAATTGCCATTTCCACAGCTGAGGCGGAATTCATAGCATTGTCAGAATTGTGTTTAGAGTTAACATGGTATATACAATTGTTAAAGGATTTGGATATTGAAGTGAAAGGAGCTATACTAGTATTTGAAGATAACACAACATATATACAAGTGGCAACAGGTGAGAGAATAAAAACCACAACCAAGCTTGATGACATAAAATATTGTAATGTCAGAGAAGCAGTGAAAGAAAATATAATAGACGTAATTTATTGTCCATCAGAAAACAATTTAGCTGATGTCATGATAAAGCCATTGAATATACAAAGAAACAAAGATCTTGTGAAACCACTTGATTAAATACTGTCCAGCTATAAATTGGAGATATTTTTGACATGGTGCTATTGTTTGGTTGTTTCTGTTTTCTATGCTGTTTTTTGACTGAAACTAAGAAGAAGGAATGAGAATGAAATACAGTACTTTGGTTTTATCACTTTAATCTTATATTTTATATTCATATTCGATCAAGAGGTACAATGAGGGACACGATGGCAAGTGTTCTCTGTGTGAGATGCCCTCCTTTGGTAAAGCCTGCCCCATCTGGTGAGGATCGCTCCCATGCTGCTTCCAAGGGGCTTGTAAAAACCTGATCTATTAGGCAGATCAGTCCAGATAACAAATTGCTGCTTTTTCTCAAAAATAAGTATTAATTGTTGCGCTCTGCACAGTTTTTCTTTCTTTCTATAGATGTACAGAATATTTTTTTCATTCTGGACATTAGTCGTGTTAATATTATAAGGCTGAGTTGGTTCTGGGAGTTCTCTTCAGTGCATAAAATATCAGTTTGTATCTCTGTTAATTGTCACAAGGATTGGTGTTTAGATAAAGTTAAGAAATGGGATAGCAGGGATCCTAGAAATGCTCTTTATTGTCGTAGGACCTAGTAGCAGAGTCTTGAAAGCCTCTTAAGAGTTTCTCTGTTCCACATATTAATCTTAAACACTTTTTACGTTCTCACAGTTGAGCTGCTGTTTCGCCTACCTTAACATTTAATTGGTCCCTTCCCCTTCTCAAGGCTTCCCAAGACCAGGTCTATATCATGCTTAAAGTGAGGTGGAAAAAAAAAGATTAAAAATTAGAATTAGGGTATTTGTTCCATGCATTTGTAATGAGTAATGTCTAAAGAACTACCAGATATTTATGAAACAAAACAAAAGTTTGATATTTTTTATGAAGGCACAGTGTAGATGTTACAGTAAGAAAGCCATAGCTCGGGCATGAAAAGATATAAAAATGTCAGAGGAAAAATGTGTATATTCAGCATGTGATTTTAATGCACGTTCATTGGAATTAAGCTCTGAAGCAAACTATGTGAAATTAAGCTAATGTTGGAATGGCTTTGCCAATTTTGTAAAAGGCAAGGAATCGTTTTGTAAAAGGCAAGACAAATTTTGAAACCCTGCAGGCGGAGAGAAAACAATTCATGAAAATTTTTTAAAAGCTCAATTGATTATGAAGGTATCATACTCCCACTATTTGTAGGCCAACAAGAGTGGTTGCAGGTAGTCCTCGGCTTATGATCACAGTTGGGCGCAAAATTTCAGTTGCTAAGCAAGGCATCTTGTTAAGTGAGTTACACCCCATTTTACGACTTTTTGCACAGTTGTTAAGTGAATCACTGCAGGTGTTAAGTGAATTATGCAGTCATTAAGCAAAATCTGGTCTTCCCGCATTGACCTTGCTTGTAAGTTGGCTGGGAAGGTTGCAGTTAGTGATCACATGACCCCATGATGGTGCAACTGTGATAAATGCATGCCAATTGCCAAGTGCCCAAATATTGATCACATGACCACAGGCATGCTGCAATGGTTGTATGAAAACCAGTCATAAGTCATTTTTTTTCAATGCCGTTATAACTTCGAACAGTCACTAAACAAACAGTTATAAGTCAAAGACTACCTATATTTCTAGCATTCACTCTCCAAGTATACTCAGACCTTCATATGTGAAATGTCAATTTTAGGTCAAAAGCAAACTTAAGGATTTGAATTGGGAAAAATCTAATCAAGTTTTTAGGATTTAGTATGAGAAAGTAAAAAGTGTATTCTTGCATGGCTTAGGAAAAATTTGGGGCATATGATAATGTTGGCTTGTGGGATTGTAGGTAAAGGAGACTTATTTTTTCCTAAATTGTACATATTGATATTTTTAGATGTAGACTTCGTTTGCAAAGCCTATTTTTATATGTAGATTTCCATTGCAGTACCTATTAAGCAATGAAAAAATGCTAGACTAACACAGTGAACTGCATATAAAGCATATTCTCGAACTGGATAATTTAATAACAAGTTGGGAACTTTGCATTAGATTTCCTTTTATAAATTATGGTTGGGAATTTGGAGAACTCCTCTCATTCTCCACTTGGATGTAGCTTTTAAAGCCAAAATTATGGATTTATTTGCTTATTCCAAGCAAAATACATAATAAGCACTGTTATGCACTATTGTGTACCATTTCATTAATAAACAATTCTCCATAGAAAAATTCAGCCACTTTAAAAACGAGCTGTTCTTAAGCTAGATTTATTCTCTTTGAATGCCATTTTCCTCAGCGAAATGCAATAACAGGTCAGCTCATTCATTACAGTGTAAAGCAATCTTAATATTTTGTTTACATAATGGTATGCTATAGTAATGTTTTTAAACTTGTTTTTCTTGTATGCTTTCCTGTCAGGTGGTAATGAATTGCAGATAGATATGTAGGTATCCTCAACCTTTAGGTTGCTTCTCTCCGAACCCTGATGATGGAGCAGACATCTTTCTCCAGAATATGTCTATAGAAGGAAGACATTCTTCCGAAGTTCACTATCCTTGACAGCAGCTTATTGATCCGAAGACCCCACTAAGTGAAATACACTGTTTTGTGCAGAGCCCCCTCACCAACTTAATGTCGGCATCTGCTCTACCTTTGTTTCATAGAGGCACTACTGGTTTGAGTGGGCAGTCCTACAGGTGTCCAGGTGCCAAGTCATACAAGGCTTTATAGGTTGAAAACAATGCCCTAAATGGTACCTGAAAACCAATAGGCAACCAAGGCAAGGTCTGGAAAACCAAGTGTTGTATATTATCACCCCCAGGAGGCCAGAGGTTATGAGTCACTGTATTTTGAACTAATTGTAATTTCTGAATAGCCTTTAAACACTGTCCCAAATGGAGTACCTTACAGTAGTCTAACTGGGTAGTGATGAAGTAGTGAGTTACTGTACTGTAGCCAGGGTCTTCTGTCCCAGGCTCAGGGCATAGCTGGCACACAAGACCTTCTGGCAACAGCTTCCATCTGCTGTTCTAGCAGGAGCTGCAATTCCACAAGGACCCCAAGTGGTGAGCCTGTTCTCTGCCAAGTATTGCTTGCCCATTAAGGAGGCAAAAACAGCAACTCTGACTTACTTGGGTTCAGCTTCAGTGTGCTCGCTCCCAACAAGACCTTGATTGCCTCCAGACACCAGGCAAGAATGACAACAGCATCTCTCTCGCGACCTGGGGTGGTGATATACAGTTGGTTATCATGAGAGCTCAGGCATTCCTTGCTTTATGACCATTTGTTCAGTGACCATTCAGGGCTTACCATAGCACTCTATGGTTGTGGAAGTGATGGGGCTGAGATAAAGGCTTGAGTGTAGCTCAGGTTGCTGGTTATCTCCTATATGGCATGGGACCTGGTTATTTGTGGGGTTGTCTTTTCCTAAGATTGTCCATCTGTCTCACTAGATCAAATTGGATGGCCATGCATCAGATCCCTTCTCTGAAATCTTGCCATCTCCAAATTCCATCATTGCACATTTTTTTCATATCTTTGTTGGATAATATCAAGTAAAGAATAACATCTTCTACTCTCCTCCACTTTCTGAAGGAGAAAATTAGTGTCAAGTTATAAGTTTCATGCAAGGTCCATGGTTGACATGGTTTGCTCTTCCAACAGAAGTTGGGGCAGTTAAACTGCTCCATCATTATTATTACTGTATCTTTTTGAAAGATGTACAATTTGTTTTTGTAAAGTATTATCCAAATTCCTTGGTTAGGAATAGAGGCACCAATAACAATATGATTTTGTTAATGCAGCCATTTATTTTAATCCAGATGCTCTCTACTGTTCTTTCACTTAGATTGCTGCTCTGATGCAGTTATTTTTTCATACACAGGGCAACTCCTCCCATTTTATTACTACAGGTAATCCCCGAGTTACAATCATTCACTTAATGCTCGTTCAAAGTTACATAATGAGTGCCCCCTAGTGCTTACGAGCAAGTCCCGAAGTTATGAATATTGCAGCACCACGGCATTTGTTCGTACTTATGAGCAACATTCACCCTGGTTATTCCCTCCTTCCCCACCCCCGCCCCGGGTCTCCCTAGGCACCAGGCCTTCAACCCTGTGAAGATCAAGATCCTTTGCTTTTGTGGGTGCTCCAGGCCTTTGGTGCATTTGCAGAGAATAGAGGCCTAAAGTAATGCAAGATCACGTGAGATCAATGGGGCAAGATCTCACGCAACTGAACTCGCCTGATCTCATGGTACTTTAGGCCTCTGTTCTCTGCAACAGAATGGAACCAAAGATGGGGGGTGCTTCCATGTGCCCTCCCGATGCTGGATCGGGGCTCTGGAGGCCTTTTCCAGGCCGCTCCTGCCCAAATTTGAGGCTGGGGAACACTTCTGTGCCCCCCGCCTATGGCCCGATCTGGGCTTCGGAGGCCTTTTCCAGGCCCGATCGGGCCACGAGGGGGCTGCAGATGTGGGCGGCGGCAGCCTGGAAAGGGCCCCCAGAGCCCGGATTGGGCCACGGGGGGGGGGCACGGAAGTGTTCCCCGGCCTTAGATCTAGGCAGCAGCAGGAACCGCAGCAGAGAGGAGACGGATCTTTTCCAGGTGAGTCTGGCGTGGCAGGAAGGGAGGGGGAAACATGCGGTATCTTAGTGGGTTTGGGAGGTCTTGGAGGCCTGTTCTATCACTAGGCCCTCTGGCCTTCCCCACCCTGAGATGCCTCATGTTCGCTTAACATGCGTTTTAATGAGCAAGGGAGTAATCTCGTTTGAGGTACGAGATTCACTCTACGAGTTTTTAAGTTATGAGTGTAATGAGCAGGCTCTATTACACTTGTAACTCGAGGACTACCTGTATGGGAAAAATCTTCAACCTATAGCATGAGTAGAATATGACTGAAGTTCTTGTTAAGGAGGCTATAATAACTTCTTGTAATGATAAGCATAGTACATTTATAGCCATCTGTGAATTAGGACACCAGTACTTATACTGTCTTTGTGTTCGTTGAAAAAAAGTATAGTTGGTTAGCTATACTTTTCCCAGTTCTATCCAAATATCAGAAGGCCATGAATAGAATAATTCTCCTTCACATTGAATGCAATATTTTGAGAGCACTGATTAGAACAAGTAACTAAGATTAATTTGGCACTTTTAAAAACTTATTTGAAGCTTTAGCTTTGGCATTTTTTGCCTGCCTGCCAAATGGCAATTTCTGTATGTGACCTGTGAAATAGGAATGGGCAGGAGAAGAAATTTTTCAAAAGACTGAATGATCTGGATAATTGAATGATTTAGATAATTATAGTGATTTCTTCGACCAAAATAAAGCTATGTAGTTTACCAAGTTTCATTACTGTCCAATCTGGATTTTATTTAGCTGTATTGTTCTCTGGATGTTCAGTCTGGCATTTGCCTGCCTTTGCCAGCAAAATATGCATAGGCATCCACTACATGGGGGAAAATAGTTTCTCTAGGAGAATGATCCCATCAAAGGCTCTTATGTGTGTGTGTGTGTGTGTGTGTGTGTTTGTTTGTTTGTTTATTCTTGGCTTATAATTTTATCCCCACAACTACCAATAGAATGTGATACAGAACTGATTTTCTCAAATTCTCTTTCGCTCTGTAATTTCTTCTAACTTGCAGAAAGACTTGGAGATTGCTAGCTGAACTCTCTGAGAACTGCAATCCCCTCTCATTGAACTGAGTAGCTGGCATGTGAGATGAAGCATGGGTTTTTTTTCTCTATTATATTTATTCCACAAAAAAAGGCAAGTTTTTCATTCAGGCATGTATACATCCCTTTTCTGTGCTGCCAAAAATCTAAAGAGAGAGGAAACTGATTAGGGGAAGATGTGTGTCTTTCTCTAAGCCACAGAATTAGTGGCTCCTTGGGGGAATCTAAGAGTGACATTCTTTTAATAAAACTGCCAGTTGCTTATACTAAACAATTGGATGTGGGAAATGCATTGTCCATTTCCTCGCCTTATGTGCAGGAGCCCAACATGGTCTGACTAGCTTAAAAGAGCCTTTCTTAAATGTACTCCTTTGAACAAAGCTTGTCTGTTGTAGGGAGTGGTTTGAGAATGGGCCCCATTTGGGAAAATAAGGAAAGCTCTTTTAATTAGCAAAAATTTGTACAATGTTTTTGTATCTGTTTTTGTATGCACATATTCCAGAATGCCTTAATAATTTGCCTTAATAACCTGAATTAGGGGATTATTATTGCTGCTTTTGATTCCTCAAGAAGCAGCACTGGATAACAAATCAGCAGGCTGTGGTCATCTGCATGCATTCAGATATTTACTGGGGTGTTTCTACTATGGCCTGAGAGTGCTTTACCCATTGTTTTAAAGCAGGGGTGTCAAACTGCCAGCCCGCAGGCCGGCTGCATCATATGGAGGCCGTGCCCACCCCAGCTCCGCAATGCAGAAAAAGTCACGATACATCGCGACACGTCATGTGATGCGGCGAGTTTGACACCTGTGTTTTAAAGTGCTGTCTCTTAAAGTGAGTACAATGATACAGATATTCAAGAAGTGGCCAGTGTTATTTTCACAAAAGGGATCAAGTCCAAATACTTAGAGAAATAAAGGACAATACCTTTTTGTATTAATGTTTCATCTAGATCAGGGGTAGTCAACCTTGGCTCTTTTATGACTCGTGGACTTCAATTCCCAGAATTCCTGAGTCAGCTTAGCTTAGCTGGCTCAGGAATTCTGGGAGTTGAAGTCCACGAGTCATAAAAGAGCCAAGGTTGACTACCCCTGATCTAGATATTGTTCAAAGTTTTTGTAAAGTGAATGATACTTTACTAGCCTGTTGCTGTGCCTAGCCCTGGTAAAAGCCATTTGGTAGTTGTGTTTAAGAGCAGCAATTTAAAACGTGGGGACTCCAGCTTGTTGGCAGAAGAATTCTGAGAGTTGAAGTCCACGTATCTTAAAAGCTGCTGAGGCTGAAAAATACCACTTTAGAAGACTAAGAGGCCTCTTTACTACATGACAGCTGGCAATGCAAGCAAGGGCTTTTAGGTTGAGACATGTGTTTTAAATTGCATGTTTCCTTCTAGCTGCTGCACACATTTCTGGCCAAATGTTGAATGCTTTTCTTTTCTTTTGGCCACAGAATGTTGGACTGTTTTTCCTCCCTGTCTTTTAGCCTTCTCTGGAATCTTCTTTTTTTATTTAGCCTTCCTTCCATTCTCTGTTTTCAGCTAACAGCAGCAAGAGGTCTTGCTAGAGAAAGACAATAGTATTTTTCCTACTTAATTAAAAAATTAATAGTAATTTAATTGTCACCTCCTCCTTGCTGAATGTTCTAAATGCATTGCATAACAGATTACAAAAAAGAAAGAAAGATCACCCTAAGATCAGCTGCATCTACACTGAACCTGAATTTGTATCAAAGGTTTAAGGTGAATTAGGGAATTCTGGAAAAGGTCCTACTGTGGAGTATTTAGCTTGAGGCTTCTTTTCATCAAGACTGTAGACTGCTTTGAAACTTTATGCTGTATTGTCACCCAGAAGTGATTGTAGAGCCATTGCACTAGTAGTAGTTTGACCTAATTAGCTTCATGTACAAAGGGGAAAAAAAGGGTTAATTTTTATCTCCACCAAAAGTAACTAAAGTATTTCAGTAAGGCAAATCCTTACCGAAGCAAACCTGCTTTCTGATGTGTTTGAACAAATTGTTCGACTTTAAGCATAGAGACCTTATATGGTTAAAATGATCCTCTCTACAATGTCTGAGTCCTGTAACAGTATTATTTAATTCTTTCTTACGTTGTCACATACCTTATGACCAAGAGTCAGAAGGTTTGAGACTATGAGTTATCCCATATTTCACAGTTAACTAAACTGGGATCAAGGGTAATAATAGAGTTTTAAACCTCTGATTTATGGCCTTTGTTGTTGCATATTTAGAAAAAGTAATACAAAAAATAGTGTTGTGTTTTGGAAGCCTATATTGCCAACGCTCAAAATGAGAAAAACTTTAGTTTTTAGTCCTAGATTGTTATGGAAGAACAATTAACAAGTGGAAAATTTATCCAGAAAAAATGTAGAAGCAATAATGGCAAGAAATTTAAATGACTGATCTGTGCAGATGGTATTATTTATTATTTTATACCCCACTTTATTATTTTTGGCATTAGCTGTAGTTTATATAGTTGGTAACAGCAAAATTTTGGTTTTTGTTCTGTATTGTTCCTAACTAAATGTAGTCTGACAACTGTTGCCTCTGTTTTTATAGACTTCTGGGTCTGTTTGTTTTGTTTGGGGCTGCTGTTACAAACTATCTTGAAACTACAGCTAATGCCAAATTCCTAAGAAGGCCTTTTTTAAAAAAAATTTCTGCAGCTTAGCTGCCTGGGCCTCTCATTTTTTAAAATTAATTTCCCTATAACACTTTAGATCGTGGAGAAAATTACTATTTCTCAATTACATTTTGAAAATCAGTTTGGAAGTCCTCAAACTAGGATTCAGATTATGTATAGTTAGTCTTCTGCCACACTGACTATTACCTTTCTAAACAATAACTGCTGTGTAGGTGCTTAAAATCTATAGTTGAAAGGTGAAAATTGTACTAGTTATTGGTATTATCTGGAAGCTGATATTATGTGCTGGTGAAGCCAGGCTTGGATATAACCTGAAAGAAAATATCAAATTGTACCTCAATGTTCCTTTATAAAAAAACATTTTTCTTTCCTTTAGACCAGGGGTTTCAAACTGCCAGCCCACGGGCCGGACGTGTCACGCGAAAGCCACGCCTACCCCATTGCTGGCAATGGCAAAACTTTCCCGATACATTGCGTGACGTCACATGATGTCGCAAGTTTGATATGTCTGCTTTAGACAAGCCTCCTCAATTTTCTCACAATTTGTTTTCTTGGGCAAAAGCTCTTCAGATTCAAAGCTCTCTTTAAATCTTTTAAAGATGATAACCTGTTTCGGTTAAAATAACTATGTATGTTATAGTATCTTGAAGGGTAAGAAATGTATTGGAACATTTGCTTTTATATGTATTTATTTAGAAAATGTATATGCTGCCAACTACATTGATGCCTTTGGCCAACTTACAGGATGCAATAATAACATACTAACCACATTTGTTACAAACAAAATATAAAATAAGCTTCAAAAGCTGTAATTTTTTAAAAGATTTAGAAATCTTTTACATGAAGAAATGTAGTATATATATGTATAACCCTAAAAATAGGAATAAGAAAAAATCAATTTATAGTATTAGATCAAGCCAATCAATGCATGTTTGGCCTCTTTCAAATACAGATCTTCCTTAGTGAACAGTAAAATTAACTTTTAGGTGATGTTAGGTGAGTACCCAGGTTTATTTGTTAGCACAGGGTAAATGTGAGAACAACCATATTTTTTATTATACAGTAGCCTGTGCCAAGATTTCTTTAGGTCAAATTTACTGTGGAATTTATCAGAGCTTTGGGCTGGTCTTATTTTGAAGCTTTTCGGAGGAATCTTACAGATTATCCACAGTGTTTGGAATGTCATCCTACAGGTTTCTGGCAGCTACCCTTTTAATGCTTCGGGTTTTTTTTTTCTTACACAGAAATTTGCCAATCCAGAAAGGTTAGCAACAGGAGTATTGGCGGATGAGTATCGGCAAATATGTCATGCTTTTGAATATGCAGACAGGCAAAACATTAATACTGCTGATCATTTTGGAACTGAATGTGTTCCTTATTGTACCTCCATGAGGTAGCCCATTGTGACTATGTCACTAATTGATCCAGTTGCTTTTTTCAAATACCTGCATTACTCAAAAACACCACACTAACCTGGCCAGTGCTTCCTAATAAATAAGCTCAGATTTCCATTAAAACACGAGTCTGTTCTGAAATTATACTCTGCTTGGCTATGCACGCTTCATAAGATATTTGAAAGAAGGGTTTCCGTCCTCAAACAAACATAGTGTCTCCGCTATTTGCTAGAGCAGACCTAACCTGAGAAAAAGGTGTCACCGTTCTAAAGAATATTACTAAATGTAATGCAATATGAGCAGCTGAAACATTTTCCTTTACGTTGTCTACACACAACGGTAATAATAAATTACACATCAACATAAATTCACATAGAACTCCTTGATAACTGACTTTGTTAAAAGCTATCTTCCCTTCTGTCACTGCTGGAGAGTGAAGTGAAAACATAAAATTTTTTGATATTATTCTCCTACTTGGTACAATGACAATTTCAGTGAGTCAAATTTCAGTGGCTGTGCAACAGCAATAGAGTTCCTGAAGACAAAGATTTCACCCTCTCAGAAAAAAAATGCTGCAAAATAAGGATTGGCAACTTCCAAAGTATTCCTTGAACATCTATAGCTGATTGTCTGAAAGTGCCATATAAACTGAGACTGGGAAATTCCTGAAAATATTTTCTAAATTCATAGTAGTAGTTCGTTTGTTTAGGATAATGCATACATTTCAAACCAGCAAGGAATATATGTTCCTTTATCTTGCATAAACGACTGTGGGTGCTCAAGTAGTAGTTGCTATTTTTCCTGCTACCAATTTAAGTTCTCGGTGCTGAGTTTCTAAGAAATAAGAATACAAGTGAATATGCAGAAACTGATCTGTTAGCATACTTTTCCTGCAGCGCACAACTTTGCCAGCCTAGCAAAAAGCTTTTATCTCCCCACCCAGCAGTCCCCTGCCCCGGTGTGTCCTTTCTACACACTTTCCTCTGGCAAGCTCCATTTACAAATACTTACTATATAACTGTAAGTTGAAGAGATCGGTCTTCCTCTGTGATTCTACTTGAGAAGAACTTTTCTCCAGCGGTGTTGAAGAACTTTCTGTTTTCTCTGTCCTTTTTTTTTTCTGTCATTGTCCTTTCATACCAGCTCCCATTGCATTTTTGATTCTCAACGGGTATATCCTTCCTCTGTTTCTCTTATCCCTGTTACTGACAGCCAGCTGCTTTCTCTGCCTGCGTGTGCATGCGTGCATGCGTGCTGGCACTCTCTCTTTTTGTTGTTAGTAGTCCTGGAGATGTAAAGTTTCATATTACATGCTCGCCAAGAAGCGGGGGGGAAACAACAACAACCGGAGTCTCACTATTGCCACAAGGTTCCCCAAATCAAGAGTTGTTGCAACTTTTTGTGTAACTCTTGATTGCATCTGAGAAATTTCTTCAGCTCTTTTCTCTCACTGTCTGGGCAACTCTTGAGTTCTTTTCCACACCACTGGAGACTGCTAATTTTGTGACTGGTGTTAGAAAAAGAATGACTTGCCCTTAGTAAAATCAACAGAATTGAAGAGATAACTGAAAGGCTCTTCCTCTACAGCAGGATAGAAGAAGATCTTTGCAGGCTTATTTTTTTCCTGTGAAATACCCCATGAAAAAGAATCAAAAGACCCAATTTATGCAATGAGAGAGAGAGAGAGAGAGAGAGAGAGAGAGAGAGAGANTCCTCCTCCTCCTCCTCCTCCTCCTCCTCCTCCTCCCTCCCTCCCATCCCCTGCCTGAATCTAACACTTTGTAGAGAGTTTGCTGCCCTAAGGTCATGAATAAAGTATTCCAAAGAAAACCGCTCTGACTATTCTAAGACAGACCATCAGTCCCTTCTAGCCAAGAAACCAACTGGCAACTCCAGGCAGTTCTTGTAACGCTGCCAGAGATTGACCTTTTGAATTGAATCTGTAACTCCATTGCCTTCACCACTAATTAAAAACATTGCCTGCATTTTTATTAGCTGGTATCATTTTAAAGATGAGAATATGGCTTTAGTTGTACATACTGAGTTTCTTCTCTGTTACCTTGGAAGCCCTGTGGGAGTGCTAATAATTAAAAAACAAAGTTGTTCTCCTGGCATAACCAAATTATATTTTGTTTGTTTTTTTCTTTTCTGGAGAGAGGAAAAAAAATGGGACTGCCAAAGACTCTTAGCATTTCCAGCTGGGTAATGCTAGCAATTGCTAGAAGGGCATGAAGAAAAAAATTCAACCGGATAATCTTTCATTGGTTGTGAAAAGAGGCTTTCTTTTAGCCCAAGAACAGTGTGAGTCAGTGTCACTTTGCAGATCTGATAAGGGTAGCTTTGTAGCATTTTTTTTCTCTCTTCCACATCCTAACTTTTTACATTCGGGGATTTCAAACCAACAACTGAGTATCTGGTACAGATACAGCTTTCTCAACCTGGTGGGTACTATGTCATCCTGTGTTAGCACAAACAGGTGTTTGTTTTATCTGTACATTTGCTGAAATAGTCCTGACTCTTGGAAAGTTTTACTCCCTCCTCCTTAGAATTCAGTAGGGAAATGCCTCAAAAGGCTTTTTTTTAAATGCCACAAAAATGCTCTGCTACCATGGTTCATATCTTTCCAACATAAGCTTGTCTTCAAATGGAAGATGTTTTTGGTTTTCATATTATTTGGAATAAGGAAAAGCGCCAGTGCTTAGAAATATTGCAGGTGAACTCCTAGGACAGTGATGGTGAACCTTTTAGAGACCAAGTGCCCAAACTGCAACCCAAAACCCACTTATGCATCATCAGGTGCCCGGTGGGTGTGGCCCATTGGCTGGGTGTGGTCAATTGGGTAGGTGTGGCCCATTGGGTGGGCGTGGCTGCGGTGGTAACGGCAGACTGGGTGGGACTAAAAAGTTCAATCAATCAATTCCAACTTTGCAAGATCTTTTTTCCCGCGAGAAGTTGAAATTGACTGATTGATTGAACTTTTTTTTTTTTTGCACACGGCGGCAGAGGCCTAAAGCAAAAAGGTTTTATAAAACCCAGCTGAAGGCCTAGGACTGGGGCAACGGCACGCGTGCCCACAGAGAGGGCTCTGAGTGCCGCCTCTGGCACCCGTGCCATAGGTTCGCCACCACTGACCTAGGATATTGTACCTATCGTAAGAAATATAAGAACTTATCAGTTCTAGCAGAAATGATAAACTGGTGTTCTCCTTTTAGTACATTTCTTAATGGACATGCTGTGTAATAAACATGAGGCTACAAAAGAATATTTTAAATCAGTGCATTGGTAAAATGAACCCTACATTTTTTGGGGGGGTAATGCAGAATGAGACAAAATATATCTTCAGTTTATGTGTTTATAACTGCATTTGTGATGTGCTTGGAAATTAATATACTAGGAAAAGAATTTTTGAAAGACACTATTAAATAGTAATTTCCACCTCATGAAGAGCCTGTGCTAAATGGCAAGGATGGAAACGAGAATGTTGGTTCATTGGCATTTGTCCTGCTGTTTTTTTTTTAATGTTGTCAACAGAAATAGTTTATCCTTCTCCCAAAGGTATCTTTTAGCCGAGTCAACAAGGACTGCTTTTTATTGACCTTTTATGGTCTGTACAGACAGTTCCATTCATTCAGCCAGTTAGGTGGTTCCTCTGACATGAACAGTACACAGCATGTTTTTCCACTTGACACTCTGCCCTACAACATTCAAAGAAACATATATGGAGGGAAAGGTTAATATGAACCAAACCTGAAACAAGTCCTCAGTGTAATTTTAAATGCCTGTGGTTTTGATGTGTTATAACTGCCTTTATAATTTCTGGTTAGAGATTAGTAGGAGAGGTTGTCATCAGATCGTTAAAGTTACCAAACTGTATACTCAAATAATCTCAAAATAGAATGCTAGCATTTTTCAGTGGTCTAGAAAACATAGAAAGCATATAATGCTCTTTGTGTCACTGTGTCCTTATCCTGTGAGTATTTTTAACTTGGCCACCTTCAGAAAGTCTCTGAACCTTCCAAACCACTGTAAAAAAAGTGTTTTCTCTGTTTCCTTCCCCCCCCCCAATCTAACATTGCTTCTTTTGCCTGTTTGCCTGTTAGTTGTCGTCATGCTGCCATAGCCAACTACTTTGGAGATGAGGTTCCCCAATGTAACAGAAGCTGTGATTACTGTAAGAATCCAGCAGCAGTGAAGAAGCAAGTGGAAGCATTACAGCATAGTACCAAAAGTTGGAGTAGAACCTATATTGGACCTTCTGCTTCATCTTGGAATGCCTGTGACCCTGAGCTGTATGGAGGAGGAAAGCGAGGCTGTGGTGGCTTTGAAAGGTAGGTCTGCATTAACTAACTGGGAAGAGGCATTTTTGTGGCCAATGTTGTTAGTGACAAATAAGAACTGCTCTTCTTTTTTTCCCCTTTTGGTGACTTTGATTATTCTCCTGACTAAAGAGGACAAAAGTTGAGATTTTTTTTCTGCATAAGGGGACTAAAGTGATGATCTCAAAAACCACAACCTCTTCATGAATCTGTCATTTCAGTAGAGTGCACAATTATTCTTTGTAGTTCAAGTTTGGAAGTCAAAAGGATCAAGAATAAGGAGAATAAGAACTATATATGGTTTAAAATTGTTATAGAAATGTTTTTACATGTTTAAATATAGTTATGCAATTCTCTTAATACAAAGATTAAACTGGATCTCAGAATGCATTGAGTTGTGTAAACCTGTTGCAAGTAAAAGCTGCTGTTCGCCCTTGTGGGGCTGCACAATTATTCTGCCTTTTTCTATTTCCTTACTTAAGGGAAGGCTGCAGGCCCTTAAAATAGGGAGAAGGAACATGTCCATGTGTGGGATAGGACCCTCCTGCTCATGCTTCCCAAATTGACTTTATGTTATCCTCAAAAATGCTCAGAAAAAAATGACAGTTTTCTTAGAACAATCTGCCAACTCTTGTCGGTAAAAAAGATAATTTCATAATTTCTGTTGGAAAATTAACCATACATTCAGCATCACTTTCTTCCTGTGAGTGAGAATGAGAGCCAAGTGTTTATCTTAACAGCTTACTCTAATATTTGTTTTTAATCTTTGCAGCACGCTAAATAAAAGTTAAGGGCATTTTCTTACATTACATAGTTACACAAAATTGTTTCCATTATATTTGTGCTGGGGCAGGCAGTATGTGACCTTCTAGAGATGTTGTTGCAATGCAGATCCTATCAACCTTCATCAGTTGTCATGCTGGCTAAGTTAGTGGACTTCTAAATAGGCTTGAAATGTAACACGTTGCCCATCATAGTTGATTCAACAAATGCAATTAGTAACCTTATTTACATGAACAAAATACATTTTACTCTGTAGTAAAACTACAATCTTGTTTGTTTATGCAACGGTCCACATCTTGATGCTTAATCCTGATGCCTAGAATATTGGCCTTTGATCCTAATTTAAAATTTGATATAATTTTACATGACTCTCTTGTTCAACTTCCAACTCTTTCTGAGTTACTATTCAGATATGATGAAGATACCAGGAGTGTGGGTGAAGTTAACGAGGACAGCCAGAAAAAGGAATGGAACATTTTCTATAACAAACAGATGAAGTTGCGCAGGGTAAGTGGAAGGGCTTTCTATAGAAGTTAGAGGCTCACCTATACATGTTTGGATTGGGTATGTCATGCAATCCTGATATGTTTCCTAAATAAGTCACACTGAGTTAAACTGAACTTACTCCCCAAACAATAAGACTTCAGAATTGATCTAAAATATTAAGACTAAACCTTGTACAAATACTAATAGAAAGAAACTCATTCAGTTGCTTTAAAAACTGGATATTATTCAGAATCATATTTTGAGGGTAGATTTAGTGCTTCATCACTGATATATGCATCCTTTTGGTGACCGGAGGCTGGATAGCATGTGGGTGAGAGGCATCCAAAATAGGTAGAACCATGTAGGAGTGGGATTTTGTCTTTATTTTGTTTTGTTTTTAAATTGAAATAGTTGAGAATTGTTTCAGGGCTTAGAGTAGAAACAGCAGGCATCAAAGACAGTAGTTTATATTTAAAAATCAAAGATTAAAGTGGACAAGATTTTAGACAACATTTGATAAAACCACAGAAATCTTGTGACAGGCCATTTCAGAATAATTTATTTTTACTTATTTTATTTGCTTTTTTCTAATGTACTGTACCTAGAGATTAAAGATCAGTTAAATCAATTAAATTTCAATGTACTTTTTTGTAAATATATAATTAAGAGCCTGTTAGGGAATTGCCAGCCCTTGTGCTGCATTTTCATGCATTTCCTATTTCAAAATAGCGGGAAACCTTGCCGCTGAATTTGGATAGCATACTGAGAATCATTTAATTTTATTTATTCATTTATAGCCTGCCTTTCTTGTTTTTATAAATAACTCAAGGCAGTGAACATGCGTAATACTCCTTCCTCCTATTTTTCCCACAACAAGAACCCTGTGAGGTGGGCTGAGCTGAGAAAGTAAGTGGCCCAAAGCCACTCAGCTGGCTTTCACGCCTAATGGGGAACTTGAACTTAGGCTCTTCAGATTTCTAGCCTGGTACCTTAACCCATAAGGCCAAGCACAGAGCTCAAGTCAGGGGTAAGAAGAATAGGATTTCTTCAACTGTGAGACTGCAGTTTTAAATTATTTCTGTTTCTAACCACTTTCTTGTTTTCTATATGACTAGAATATTACCTAGTAATATTCATCCAAAATTTACTTGCATAGGCCAGAAAATGTAGGATGAAGATACTGTAGATGTTAAGTTTAACAGATCTCTACTTTAACCAGCTAAAGATAAATTATCGTAATTGCCAAATGCATTAGGGGACTCTTCAGTTATTAACCCTTATCCTGTTTGGCAAAGAATTAACCCTATTTGGTTTAATTTTTTTTTTTAACTATTTAAATACATTGGGTTTTTTGAGTTCAAGTTTCATATTCTTAGTTAAGCTTTAGCATGCAGTATTTTTAAAAACATTTCCTATGTTGTTTCTGTTTAATCTCTGTAATTTCCTTCTTTTTTTATATCTTTAGAGCAGAGAATCTGAAAACGATAACTTTGTTCCTCCAGGTAAAAATCATTTCAAATATCAGTTTTGGATAAAGTTTTCATGGGTGTTTCTGAAGAGTTGACGGTAATTACAGCCTCCATATAGTTTAGCCTTGTAAGATAGAGGGATTCAGTTAACAGCAGCAATGGGTGCTATATTGGAAGATCTGAAGGATCAGGTGGGGATACTGTGTCCAGGAGAAAATTGATCCATGTGGTCGTTAACAATTGATTCCAACTTGGGGACAAATAATCAGTCAATCAATGCTTTAGCCTGCATAAACCCTAGTATGAGAGATAGTTTGGTAGAGTTAGAAGTAAATAACTGAAAATAGATGGTAGTTTACAGTAATGTAGAACAGGTGGGAACTGTTCATCCTGCTCAAAAGAGAGATGCTTCCAGCCTCTTTTATCACACAGATAGAAGAAAAAGGTGCAAAGATTTGGACTTTGATTTCATTATAAATGGAGTTTGCATTTTATACGTAGTAGTTGCTGGAATTCTTCTCAGTTTTTCTGTTTACTGTAGGCCTGCATCATTTATAGGTTTAAAATTTACCACCAGAAGATTGCTTAATGGATATTAGAACACTGTTGGCTTTTTGTATATGACATTACTAAGCCCAGGATTCCATTTGGACTGAACTACAGATAGTATAATCGCCTATGACAGTGATGGCGAACCTTTTAGAGTCCAAGTGCCCAAACTGCAACGCAAAACCCACTTATGCATCGTCAGGTGCCGGGTGGGTGTGGCCCATTGGCTGGGTGTGGCCCACTGGGTGGGCGTGGCTGTGGTGGTAACAGCAGACTGGGTGGGACTAAAAAGTTCAATCAATCAATTTCAATTCTGCAAGATCTTTTTTTTTCCCCGTGAGAAGTTGAAATTGATTGATTGAAACTTCTTCTTTTTTTTTTGTACATGGCAGGAGAGGCCTAAAGCGAAAAGGTTTTATAAAACCCAGCTGAAGGCCTAGGACTGGGGCGACAGCACGCGTGCCCACAGAGAGGGCTCTGAGTGCCGCCTCTGGCACCCGTGCCATAGGTTCGCCACCACTGGCCTATGAAGAGCTCCTTGCTAAAGCATTTGGATTTAAACCCAACTCTGGCAAAAATAGCTAAATCAGACTTTCACTAGAACTTTGTGGCTTTCTCAGTGCCAAATACCATTCTGGAAACCATTCTGTGATAAATATAGATGGCGCTTGGGCCTTATGTAAATGTGTTTTAGAGCTATCTCATTATGAGTAAGATGCCATACAAGACAGCCTAATTGATTCTGTGACATCGGTGGCACTTAATGACCATGGAGAGAGAAAAAAATAAACCCTGCCTCTCCTTTAATTGGCCTCAGAATGGCTTTTATGCTATTGAAAATTTCAGATATAACTAAAAACATGTAAGCAAAACAAAGCATAATAAATAGTAGGTAAATATCAGTAAAAGGATACACTTTCATTATGATCTACCCCAAAGATGAAATAACTGGCAGATTTCCAGATCGCTAATAAGATGGATCTTCATCACATGCATCAGCCAACAGGATATAAGCCAGAAACACCCAGAGCCTTAGAGAGCCACACAAATTCTTCCAGTGTAAGGCTAGCATATGCTGGGAGAGAAAGTTTTAAAAAATCTAGACATGGGTTAGTGAAGTAACAAAACACACAGGTATACAGAAAGAGTTCTGTTCTGCTGCAATCTGATACAGTTATAGTTCCCATCCGTGAAAAGTTTGGCAACACATTAGAAATTATTAACTTAGCTTCTATATTTACTCCTTTTGATAGACAGTGATTGTCCCTTGAAGGATGCAGCCAGTAGGAAAATTGCTAGAATTACAGTAAAGGTAAGTGGATTTTTTTTTCCAAGACAGATTATTTTAGTGCAGTCTACTTATTCTTTGTTGTCAACTGATTAAGTTGTGATATTCAAATTGAAGACTAACTGAAGAAAAATATAGCACAGATATGTTTCCTGGTTAAAGTCAAGATCAATCAAAATTTAGGTGGAGCCACCCCTTCACTACAACTCTGTTTCTTTACAGCACTCTGTGAGCAGTTTACAGAGTTAGCGTATTGTGCCCCCAACAATCTGGGTCCTTGTTATACCAACCTGGGAAGGATGGAAGGCTGAGTCAACCTTGAGCCGGTCAGGATTGAACTCCTGACAGTGAGCAGAGTCAGCCTGCAATACCACATTCTAACTGCTGCGCCACCAGATGCGCTCATGCATGGAATTTTGAAAGCAAGACAGAGACATTTTAATATTAGATCTGCTTAATAATGTAGAAAGATTTCTAAAAGTTATTTTGGATTACTTTGTTTACTACTAGTGGAGCAAATCTCTTCATTCAGTTAAAAAAATTAATCTGTGTGCTGTTCACCTGAATATTCATGTTGTGATGAGGGTTCAGGTACCTTTCTTTCTTTCGTTGCTTCTTCCACATCCAGACCTAAAGAACCATAGCAGCTCTTAGCCCCAGCTTTTATGCAGTGCAGTTCAGTTCATTCTGAACTACTTGTCTCCAGTGTGATGTAACATTTCACACGCAGGTATTGATTTATAGCTTTGAAATGTCTTCATGGTTATTTTTTTATTAGTACCCGTGCTTTATTTCAACTTTATGAATGGTCTAGAAACCATTCTGTAACCACCACACCAAAAAATGTCCAGGGAGTGCTTTAAATGTATTTTCAGAGTCCCGTTAATAAATTTGTATTTCTTTTTCTGATTTTTTTTTTAAAAAACTTGTCTTAGCTGTTTAGACCATGGTATATAGACTTCTCCAGTCCTTATCATCCCGACTCTATGAAACCTTTTTATTTATGCCCTAAAACATGTTTTAAAAAATCAATTAGTGATGATATTGCAATTTGTCATAAGTACCCTGATTTCGATGAGTACACCAAACAATTATTGTATTGGGCTCTTTCTTACTTCTTACTTCATTTTAATAAGCAAAAAGTAGGCTTTGGCTGTAATGCTGTAACCCCAACTCCTGGAACAATTATTGGGGTAGCAGGACAGATAGTATCCTGCTGCACATACATTAAGTTACACATTTGGCAAGGATGGTACCTTTTCCCACCACAACTGGAACACACTTCCATATGTCCTCTTTTTATTTTAGGCTCGAGAACACTGCCTTTGGATGCTGGAAGAAGCATTGGTCACCAACCGGCAAGCGGCAGCAGTGACAGATAGGTAGATCTAATCCAATTTGGTGGAAGAGTCCCAGAGCCCTCTTTGGATCCTTTTTCCTCCCTGCCCCACTCAGACTTAAGTTAAGGGCACAGAAGCAGACCAAGTATAAGAGCTCTCTACTACATAGAAGAGCTGCTATGTATAAGGCTTCCGGCTGCTCCGTGTGGTTTCATCCAGCCTTTCCTTCATGGCCCTTGCAAGGGACACATCCAGGTGAAATATTTGGATAGGGAAGGAACTACTACTCACTTGTGTAGGTCCTGCACTGATATTGAATTAGATGGAATTGAATCTAACTGATATTTAAATATGATCTATTGGCAAGATGTTTTAATTTATTCTAAAATTCTTCTTTTACTGTTTATATATATATATGTATGTGTGTATGTATGTATGTATGTATGTATGTATGTATGTATGTATGTATGTTAAATTTGGATTGCTAACAAAGTTAAAGGAAAGGTGGTATAGCTATTTCAAGCTCCTTAGCTCTCATCAGCCAGCTATACCCTTTCTTCTTCCCATATTTGGGCCGACCGGGTGCATCATAAACACACACACACACACACACACACACACAAATATATATAAAAACAAAAAACACTTACATATATTAGTCTTTAATAGAGCTAAGAAAACAAATAACTTCTGTGGGGATTTTAGATGGGTTTTTTTTTTGTTCTATTACTATTGCTATTTTTGTTCTAAAGTTGTCCTGGGAATTGTTTTATCTTGCTGAAAGACAGTCTATAAATGATTAAACTTGCATACTACTGCCATATTTTGAATCATGCAAAAATTTAAGAGTATTTGCTTAAATCAAATGTCATCATGCTTCAAGTTAAAGCTCTAAATATGCACATTGTTAGGGATGACTGTGTTGGTTCTCCAGCAGATCCCATTATTGGAACCAAAGTAGGCAGTTATGAGGTCCTTCTTGTATTACTGGATAAATTACATGACTGTGATTATATATTTGCATCTTTTCTTCTGATCTAAATAGTGCAATTCCCTTTGTCCCCACCAGAGGGTAGCAATGTACCATGCAAATACATGGTACTGCAAAAAGAAATAGGCAGGTTAGAAGTACTTGTTCAATAAACTAGAAATATTTGAAGGGAAAATATAACTTGAAGTTATTGTTTCTTGTCTCCTTATTTGGGGAAGAATAGGCAATTGCCATTAGTATTTTTGCACTCAGGTAATAATTTGGAACTGCCAACTGTTTCAATGTGGATTGTACGGTGACGCCTCTTATAAGAAAACATGGAGCATGTCCTTTGTATTTGGAAAAATGCCTTCAGCCACTGCTGCTCAAACTATGGATCTGTTTTAGTTCAGGTCTTCTAGCATGTGCTGTAGAGATGGAATATGAAGCTTTCCGGATCAATAAGATGGCAAACCTATACAAGGCATCAGTTCTAAAGAAGGTAATAAACAGTTGTGGAGATTAACACTGTGGGCCAGAGTTCTCTCTGATAGCTGGATTTCTTGAAACCTATGGTCATAAAGGAAAAAGGTTGTGTATTTATTGCTGACTTACTGGAAAATGCTGTTATCATTCCTATAACACTATGTAGATCTTTAACTTCCACAGAATGCAGATTCAGTATAATCATATTTGTAGCAGTTTTTAGATCAACCATTGGATCACAGTTGAATAGCTTCTCAAGAATGTATGCTTTGAAATAATCTGCAGTACAGTGTCCCTAATTCATTTCTGAACAACCATTCTTTAAAATTATATGGTTGCAGCAACAGAATAAAACTTCACAAAGGAATAAAGGGGAAAAAAAACCCTACTTCTTCTGTAAATGTTGGCAGGGCCTTCTAGTTGAATGAAAGTAGGTAAGCGGCTTGGGATATCTAGAAAAAATGCATCGCTCCAGCAGCTGAAGGCGTAGTCACTTTTGCATGCTTTGGAAGCCGTTCTCTAACTCTAAAATGGAGACTTGCACAACTTTCCCTGTGGGTAGCTCTATAAGAATCTGATGTGTAAATAAGTGTCAGTTTCAGTGGCAAAAGCTTCCTTTCAGATGTAGAAAAGGAACGCTGTTGTCTAAAAATTAGTAACAATTGTAGATTCAATTTCTAGCGCTCCTCTGTAATTTCCAGAATCTCACTTCATTTCAGATTAGTATAAATAAGTGGCTTGAAAGACAGGTGCCTAAAGGTCTGCTGCCTTCTCCTTGAAATTGCCTCACTCTCAGAGGGTGACGCTAGAGGCCCTGTCCCAATGGTGGATTGCCTTTTCTTGCATTGATTGTTTGGCACTACACTGGCGTTTTAAGCACAACGTGAACTTTATATTTATCCCATAATTCACCGATCGCTATTGTTTTAAAGATTTTGCCCTTTTCTTTGTTAATTTCTCACATTCCTATATTTAAGCTTTGGATAGGATATGCATTTAAAAGTGGGGTGCATCTACTTTGAACGAATCATAGTAAAGTAAGAACTTTATTTTTTGACAAAATAGGAAAAAAGTCCTATTTTGAATGAGAGTTCAAACAAGGGAAGAATAGCTGAAATAATTCCCTGTTAATCCAGGCTAGGTTGTTAAGAACCTGATCAGGAATGATGATAATGCTACATTAATTGATTTGAATAAGAAAAGCCTAATTCCTCAATATCTCCTTACATGGATTTCCTGCTTGTTGCTACTACAGATAGTCCTCGCCTAACATCCACTCATTCAGCAACCATTTGAACTTATGACAGTGCTGAACAAGTGATAGTTATGACCGATCCTTATACTTAGGTCAGTTGCAGTATCCCACAATAACAGGATCACCCTTTGCAACTTTCTTTCCTGACTTCCTACAAGAAAGTCAGTGGGGAAGCCAGCAGGAAGTCACATGTAGTGACCATGTGAGGTCCTTGCTTCACCCCTAGAGTGATTTGCTTAATAATGGCAACCAGAAGTGCCAAACGTTCTGTCACAAAGCAGTGCAGTGATACGACTTTGCACTTTATGACTGCGTCAGCAGTGGAAATTCCGATGCTGGTTACTATTTATACTAAGTGAGAACTAGTATATTGAAACAAACATGGTACGGTACCAGAGACGGAATCCTCTTTACTCTGTCCCTTTTTTCAATAAAGGTCACAGAAATTAATAAAGCTTCCAAAAATGGGGAATTGTACGCTATACCGGACTTAGGAATCAGTGACAACCCCAAGATGAAAGGTGAACCAACTGCTACACATGATGATGTATTCTGTCAAGCATCCAAAGTGAATACTGTAAGTGCTGTGAACCTTTTGTTTATAATTCGTTGTTGGGTAGGTGGTTTTGCAGCAGATTTTGTCTGATGCATAATTTCCTTGAGCTTTCAGAGATCTCTGTTATATTTGCCATATAGGAAAAAATATCTATCCATATACTACTACAATTCTCTTTTCTGTAACCTTGAACTGGGTGAAATAGTACACCATAGGGCAGTGGTGGTGAACCTATGGCACGGATGCCAGAGGTAGCACTCGGAGCCCTCTCTATGGGCACGCACGCCATTGCCCCAACCCCACCTCCCCCCATGGCCCCCTCCTCACCAGCAGCCCCCCTGGAGGAGAGTCGCCCCTGGGCAACAGGGACAAGATTCCGCCCTCACACCCCATAGCATGCAGATGATGCTGCGGGGTGTGGGCAGAGGGCATGGCTGCCATGGTGCTGCACGGCTGCCTGGCGATCTGCTGCAGCAAGCCATGGAGGCGGTGCGTGGCCCTGCAGGCGGGTGAGGCAGGGAGTGGGTGGGGGCGGAGCAGGCAGGGCGGGAGGCGGAGCGGGAGCAGGGTGATGGTTTTTGGGCACCCGATCTCTAAAAGGTTCGCCATCACTGCCATAGGGCAAAACATTTTGAAAACAAGGGACCTCAAATGGGCTAACTTTCAGAATGCATCCAAAATCTGGGATCCATGATTCCCATAGAACTGAAATTTGGCAAATTTTTATACAACATTTTAGGATATAAAAATTAACACCAAACGGTGTATGACATAATACAAAATGTCATAATACATTTCCTGGGCTGATGTTTGACTGTGCTCCACACTTCAACATGGGCTATTTCAAGGCAGATACATATCTCTGAATGTATCCCAACTTTTCCAGTGAAGGAAGTACATTAGTTCTGTCGTTGAAGGCATTGAGAAATCTAATAAGGAAATAACTCTGCAAGGATGACACAAGGGAGTCACATGTTGTCCAGTATACTACTATTAAAATTCCCCTGTTTGTCTGTGTGTAACTTTAACTAGCTAAAATTGTGCGTCGTGTGGCAACCATTCTAGAACCAAAATACCCTAAATGGGATAACTTAGAGAGCATCCAAAATCCAAAACCCATGATTCCCCTGAAATTGAAATTTGGCAAATTTTCTAAAACATTTCATGGCCTAATAGAAAATATAAAACATTTCCTGTGGTCCTGATATTTGACCGGGCTACACAGTTCAACCTGGGCTATTTTCAAGGCAGATTCTCATCTCTGAATATTTCCCTGAATTTTTAAAAATGTTTCCTAGTGAAGGCAGTCTATTAGAAGCTCTGCGTGCATTGTAAATAAAAAAATAAGCAGCTCAAATGATCGTGCTTTTGATTTCAAATGTTCATAGGCAAATTCAAATGTTTTAGAAATGCAACTCTTTTTCCTCTCTTTCCCCAAGTTCAAACCCAAGAGAATGGGGATTGGATTTCGAAGGATGTCTGGCATGTTCCAGTCTGCTTCAGAGGTTCTGTCGGCCAAGGAAGGAGACGAGGTTAATGTTGTAAAAGAGGAAATTGGTTCAGACTGGAAGGAGGACGGTGGCTGTGGTCCCAAGCCTTTAGATATGGGTGACATTCTTGAGGATGAGGAGGAAGCAACCAACAAAATATGCAAAAACGGTGGTGAATCCCCTGAAGAAAAGGGACAGCATGATACTGCTGAGGCTGTCACCTCCTTGGCGGTTAGTCTTGAAAAGAGAAAAACTACTAAGAAGCAGTTGCTGTTGGCAGAAGCAGCTAGGAAAGAATCTCAGAACATCTCCAAATTCTTCTCCATCCCCAAAGCAGGATGTAAAGCCAAGGCTTCAGAAATTGATTTGGCAGAAGAGAAAATCAACTGTCTCAATGAACTGCCTCAGTTTCCCTCCCGAAGAGCGTGTGAAGAGAAAGCTGAACCTAAGGAAACGGCGACTGTTTTTAAAGAAGAACTAACGAGTTCACCCCCCAAAAAAGAGCAGGAATCCAAAAATATAGAAAATCTGTCTTTGGGCAGTCAAAGATTAGGGAGAGAGTCCTCGTGCTCAGGATCAAGTCTTGAAAAACCAAAGTGAGATATGTTTTTCTTTGCCTCTCAGTTATTACCTTTCTGAAGTTAGGATAGGCAGTGGGCAGTTGAATACAAGCAATGATTCAACTATAGTTTCTCCAGCCAAAGTTGAGATCGTAGTATATCAAGCAATTGGAATTTAAGTTTGTTGCTCATTCTGAGAGCTGTCACAGGTTGTATGAGTACAACTGAAGGTAAAAAAGCTAAACCTTAGCCTGAAATTGAGCAGAAGGACAGCTCAGTATGTAGAAATAATAATAATAATAATAATAATAATAATAATAATAATAATAATAATAATAATAATAATAATAATAATAATAATAATAATAAAGTTGGAAGAGACTTTGGGGGTCATCTAGCCCAACCCCCTGCTCAGTCAGGAAACCCTATACCATTTCGGACAAATGGCTGTCCAGTCTCTTCTTAAAAACTTCCAGTGTTGGAGCATTCACCGCTTCTGGAGGCAGGTTGTTCCACTGGTTAGTTGTTCTAACCGTCAGGAAGTTTCTCCTTAGTTCTAGGTTGCTTCTCTCCTTGATTAGTTTCCACCCGTTGCTCCTTGTCCTGCCTTCAGGCACTTTGGAAAATAGCTTGACTCCCTCTTCTTTGTGGCAGCCCCTGAGATATTGGAACACTGCTATCATGTCCCCCCTCGTCCTTCTCTTCATTAAACTAGACATACCCAATTCCAGCAACCGTTCCTTATATGCTTTGGCCTCCAGTCCCCTAATCATCTTGGTTGCTCTTCTCTGTACTCATTCTAGAGTCTCAGCATCTTTTTTACATTGTGGTGACCAAAACTGGATGCAGTATTCCAAGTGTGGCCTTACCAAGGCATTGTAAAGTGGTATTAATACTTCACGTGATCTTGATTCTATCTATATTGGAGATCTGAGTGTAGGCTAAGTTCAGGCACTTCTTTTGTCTCCACAAAGAGGTTATTCTTAGCAGACGTATTTGTTATCCTTTTTTTTCTTGAAGGGCTGAACCTGTGGTTGAAGAAGATATGACCAATGATTGTGAAAATCTTAATGGAAAAAGACCAGGATCAGCTGAGGTGAGTTATATTTTATTAAAATTATCTGTCTGTCTGTCCATACAGAGAGAGAGAGAGAGAGAGAGAGAGAGAGAGAGAGAGAGAGAGAGAGAGAGAGAGAGAGAGAGAGAGAGAGAAGGGGGGTGGAAGAGAGAGAGAGATGCAAAGAGAGGCACATGGAGGGATGGTGCTGAGATTTGATGACAGGAATATAGGAGTGAAGGAATAGGAAGTAGCAAGTGAGATGATTTCTGTTTGCCTGAACTAATTCCCAAATGACATTTACAGCGAGGCCAACTAAGATTCAGGTGGCAATTTAATAAATTGATAAATACATGATGCTTCATCCGATACAGGAACACTTGACTCTTGAAATACAGTGAAAAAAGAGAGGTCAGTTTCTTCTTTATATAATTTGTCTCCAGTGCTAACTACCACATGGCAGTGACATTAATTAAGCCTGGCTGGCTTAATAAAATAATTTAATTAGCCATGCATCTGAAGTAAAAAACAACAGCAGCCAGAAAAGTAATAAAAATAGCCACCAACACAAACAGGATCTTGAGTGGGTTGCCTCTAGAGTTTAATGCTAACAGTGTATTGGTTTTGTTGCATTGCATTTTAGTGATGCACAAATCAGTGTTAACATCATACTTGGGAACTGACATGCTTTTGGTTATTTTTGACTGTTTCTTTTTTAATGTGTAATTAGTGTTCATTTATTTTTCTCAAACAAAGACTGTCCTCTTTAGGTCACGTAAATAGCAGAAAGCGGGCAATGGCTAATACGGCATACCTTGCATCAGAAGATATGTAGACAAACAAGCCTTTATTAGTCTTGCTGCTTTTGTTTGGCCCAAGTTAAAGCAAAAGATCAAACAGAGTAGAGGAAGAGATGTGATTAGCACTGAAGATGTGCTTGTTAATTTGTGTTCCGGGATATCTGTTTGATCCTTTGCTTCAGTCTATTAATGAGCATAGAACCAGGCTTCAGAAAAGTCATGATAATTTCCCTGGATGCCATGTATATCTTTGAGGTGCTAATGCATCTTGACTGAGAAATGTAAATAACAAAGGAATATTCTGTTACAGTGCTTTGCTGGGCCTGCCAAATTTCTATCTCCAGAAGCGTTCACTATCTTGGAAAGATTTCCATTGTACCTTTTATATATAGAAGTTATTTAACAAGATATCACTGAGTTATTTCCAAAAGAAACTAGAACTAAAAAAAAGTTGTTATACTTTCTTGATAGTGACCTTCCTGATTAACTATGTAATGAACCTTCGCATATCAGTAAGTGGAAATATTTGATATTTCAAAAACATAAAGGGATCTTTTAAAAATATAAGTGAAAATATAAGAAGCTGATTTTGTGAACCTGCTTCCAGGCAATGAATTTCATATTGCTTCTTGTATCCATCAGTGTTACTGTTGTTGTTTTTTTAGATCTGCCATTTGGTTTGGGCTGAACAATTAAGCAAAGCAAATCTTGTCATAACTATAGAAAATTAGTTAATTACCCAATGTGATTATTTTTATTTTTTGTTGTTTTTAATGAATATTTTGAGTAACATTAAAATGTTTTTCTGCTTCACATTAGTGTCTTTAAATAATTAAAACTAAGCTGAAATACTGTTAAAATGAAAGTGTTCTAACATTCCTTAGAGTGTTTTTTTTAAGTGATAAGGAAACCCTTTCCATGTGATTAACATGCTTTGGGTTCATTTAAGATTAGCCTCATTGGGAGTGAGCTACTGTCATGGTTCCGACAGATGAAACTCGTCAAAGAACTTTGAGGCATTGTTTACCTTAAAGAATCTTTAT